TGTAATAATAATTTTATAATAAATAATAACTAAATATTATTATAATATTATTATATATTAAATATATATAAATGCATGCCTATTTAATGCATAGGGTAGCATTTTATATATATATACACAGATATATATATATATATATATATATATATATATATATATATATTTGTGATGATCAATTGACCAAATATTGGAAACCTGTTGCTTTATGAGAATGATTAAGTCAAGTGTATGTTTAAAATTTGAGGTTTGTTAGTATCAACGGAAAAATTTTGAAAACTAAAAATAGAAACCAACCTACGGAAAAAATTGAAGGCCGATTTTAATAAACAATGCTCTCTCCATCTCAGACTAATAGTTTTTCTACTCAAATTTTATGTAAAATTAATTATTAATTTTATATTTTTAAGAAGACAAATATTATTTTTCTTACTTTAACTTTTTTGTTATTCCTTGAATTTAATTATTCATTCATCGACAATAGTTTCTCCTTTTATTTATCTCTTCTTTAAAGATAATAAAAGTTATCATATTTATTAAAAATAATTATTCATTTTGTTTATTTTTAGCATATCTAATTTGATTTTTTTAATTTTTCAAACATATGGTTTAAATGAAAATTTAATACTTATATAAATAACAATAAATTTTTTTTGTCTTATATGAAATTCTTATCGAATATTTTTATTTAATAAAAAAAAGCTATTACACTCCTTTTATTGAGATATGTTATTCTTGTAAAAAATTGATCAGAATTGAACAATAAAGGGATAAAATTGATAATTAAAAGTTGTTTTTTTTTTTCTTCGTTGCACAATGAGAGGCAACTATCTCTCATTTCTTATCTCATCTCATTCGTATGTCATGCAATTCAAATTTAAGATTTTAAACTTTCAACGAGAAAAAATGACCACTGACTTATTTAAATCTTCGGCAAAGTTGCTTCTTTGAAAGGGGAGAGATTAACTATGCATTTGGCCAAAGAAATAGGAAAAATCACAACATGTAATAATAATTTTATAATAAATTTGATAAAATTAAAACAAATTATATTTCACATATTGAATAACTATAATTAAACATTTTGACATTAAATACCAAGACATCTTAATGGTCTCTTTTTATATATTTGAAAATACCAATTTTGTTTTAAGAAAAAAAAAAAAAAACAGCTTTAATTGCCAACGGCACCGTTTAACATAAACTAGTTCTTCGCAATAGCAACTACTTGAATAGAAATTGCACCAAAAAATAGAAACTACTTGAATACAAAGCTTCGAATTTTCAATTACTGGTTGTCTCCAATGGCGGCCTCTTCCTCTTCTAACTTGGTAATCCCCGAAACGTTCCTTCCTTAACCCAAAATTTTCCTGGAAAACACCTTCTATTTTAATTACCCACTACTTAATTGTTATTTATCATTTTGGGTTTCCCTCAATTTTTGATTTTTCTTTGAATTTCATGGGTTTTTGAATTCCTTTTAGGATCCGCAACTGGAAGAAGAGGAATTCTTGTACGGCGCCGAATCTGGTTGGGTTGAAGCTCGAACATGGTGCGATCACTTGGGTTGTCTATCCTCTGATCTTGCTCACATTCCGGCTCCCGATACTCCTTGCAACAGGTTGGTTTTTCTTCTCCCTCCTTTGGAACTCTAAATTCGGAAAAACTTCTTTCTAATTCAAATTCCTAATTAGCTTTGTCAATAAGAAATCAGATTTCAAGGTGAAAACGTGCATCACAGAATCTATAGTTTTAGAAGTAATAATCAATGAATTTTATGATTTCAGAAATAATTGTTGCCCCTGCCAGCTGTAATACTAGAACCCACCCATGTCCTTGTACTTACACAGGAAGAAGATTACCACTATACTAAGAGAGTTGTTTGCTCTCATTAGACCACATTTCTCTTCTAGTACCTACTTATAGTCTCATCAACGTGGGTTACTGAGATTGGTGAATTGGAAGTGTACATACATACCCTCGATCAAATTTTGCTGTGTGGCTTCATTAGTGGTAGTGAGTAGGTCTTGTTTTGTCCTTTTTTGGCTATTACTTTTTCCATGAGTTTGCTTCACCATCAAAATCATGAAAGGGGTTTGGAGTATCATATGTTGAATTGCTCCAATGAGTTCATAGACTAGTTGGGAATCTGGCAGTTGATAGCCATAACAAAGTGCAGGTTGGTAATCGTCATTGTTGTAATATCTTTTGTCTCTTGGAAGAAAGAACATAAAATGCCTAGAAAGTTCAAACTTTTGTGTTTTACTTACTCAAAATGGCTAATTGATTACTTTACCTCTAGTTTCATTGCAAAAACTTTATGTTTTTCCAAAGTTTAAACTATCATGAGGTACCGAATTTTTTGTAGTCTTCTTTTTTTCTCCCCTTTTTCAAATTACTCACTGATTTTAGTTGAGATCTTTGTTGGAAATTACAAGTTATATCATCTAATCTGTAGAGCATTTTTTACATGTTCAAGGTGCCTACATCCCAGTGAAAACTGGTTATGTTTGTGCTGTAAGGATGTTTTATGCAGCCGGTTTGTGAATAAGCATATGCTTCAGCATTATAATCAAACAACTCATTGTCTAGCACTCAGCTATAGGTATGTACTTTTGTTTCTTAATTTCAAGCAACCAATTTTGAAGTTCTACGGCTAATGCATGTTGTTCTTTTGAATACAGTGACTTGTCAGTTTGGTGTTTCAAATGTGATGCGTATCTGGATGCTCAAGTGATTCTGCAACTGCAACCTGTTTATGAGACTGCTTACATACTGAAGTTTGGTGAGGCTCCTCCATTTCGGACAGTTGATCACCCTGATGTGGAAGATAACCAGGCCAAGGGTATTTCATCAGGCAGTTAAATCTTGTTTTATTGCACTGTCCTCTGTTTCCCCAGTAGGCATCTGCTTAGAAACAATGTGATTGATGAATCCACAAACTTTTTCTTCTTCACATCAGTTATCTATTTAACAGGAAAATGGTAAAAACATTGTTTGTCTTTTGCTTGTACATCTGATGAGCAACCCTTTTTCTTTCCTAGACAAGACCAGGAAGAGAGCTAGGTTTGGATGGCACAGGCTGTGATTTTATTATATCTCAGGTAGACAATTAGAGAAAATCTCAACCAACTACATGTTCCTTTCTAATTTGGAGGTCACAAAGCTCTTAGGCTTAGAACCATTAGGCAAAACAAGCTGACCTGTATCTTTTATATATGTCTCATTCTCTTTTCTTTAAAATGGAAACAAATATCAGGAAATTTAAAAAAGGGATAATAAATAGCATAACCCTATAAAATGCAAACATAAAATTTGCTTAATATGCTCTTTTGCATAGAAGATTATGAGAGGAATGGCCAAAGGCTATATGTTTTTGGTGGAAGATGTAAAGTTGTTGATTCAATGTTTTTTTTATTGTTATTGTTTTTTATGGTCGGAATTTATTGTTTATTGTTTAACTTAAGTAATCAACCTTAAAACTTTTATGTACCATATAAATATAGACAGAGTATTCAATGCAATTGTTTCCAGCCAAGAACATTCTGCGGACAGGGGGGGGAGCGAGGAACTTTTTTAGAGGGGGCGAGACTTTCAAAGACATTCTGATATTTAGAAATTAGTGACATGCAAAAAGCTTTATGGTCTGTTTGGGAACATGAATTTGGTACGATGTATTTGAATTTTAATCTCTCAAATTCAATATCATTATCTGTTTTTCGATAAATAAAGAGTAATTGGATTTAGTTGAAATACATGCATTTTACTTGAGTAATTCAAAAGAATAAAAACAGTGTATTTCAATTTCACTCTCAAACCCATGAATTTCAATTTCAAAATGAATTTCCTCTACACTTTCTCCTCTCATCAACGGCGATGAAGCCTCTATCTTCCGAATCAACCTCAGCCAACGGATCGTCGAACTAATCGCTCTCAACATCTGATTCATCATCATCGCCATCATTCGAATCATCGACATCATCCTTGTCGTTGTCCTCCTCTTCTATCAAAATCCCTTTCCCTTTTCTGTCCACTTGAGCATCTTCCTCATCATTGTCTTCATCCTCCTCCTCGTAGTCACCATCTTCGTCTTCCTTGGCGTCAACCTTAGGTTCTTGGTCACCCGTTTTAGATTCGGGAACGGAAGTTCCCAAATTGTTGCTCTTGCTCGTCTGATTTTCTTCGTTGTCTTCAATTTCGTCCTAGTGCACAATTTTGGGGGCTTTTAGTGGGGAATTGTCATGGTCTTGGGCCTTGCATTTGGTGGGCAATAGCTTCTTCAGAGCTCTTGGTTTTTGCCATTGATTCTGATGGGAAATTTTGTTTGGGGAAGGAATCCGTTGGGATTGCGACTTTAGAAAAGAAAATTTTGAGGTTTTTGGCCTCCCATGTTAGGGTTTTTTGTTTTTTTTTTTTAATGGAAAAAAAATGGAGTCTTGATTTGAGATTTTGGAGAGAGTCCTAGTAAACAACAATTTTGGTATATTCTAGATGTTTCATGATGCCAAAAATTGAGATTCATTGTTCCAAGCTTGTTTTCTCTTTGTGCCTCCATGTTTAGAAATGAAAACAAAAAGAAGTAAGCATTTACTGTTTATGACTATGGTCCTTCTTTCGTTGTAGTTAAGGGGCATAATATGGGATTGCCTTCCCTAGCATCTCTCTTATGAGGGAGGTCATATTGCTTTTACTAGTCTGCTCTCTATTTTGTTCTTACTCATTTCAAATATGTTTGTTAATGCCATGATTTTGGTATTGGACTTTTAGTTGTGTTTGTTGAATGTGATATTTTTCGTATATGCTCTTATTAATTTTAGGAGCAAAAAGAAAATAAAAAAGGTCAAGGAGAAGGTGTTTTTTACAGTGAAATTCTTTTATGATAAATTCATCAATGTAGAAATTGAATATTGTATGACAATGAAGAAAATGAAAAGAAAATGGAGAGCATGAAGACAAATTAATTAATGGAGGTCATTGTTCTTTTTTTTTTTTTATCCAATTTGTTTGTCTTGATATAATTTAAATAATGCTTTGAAAGATTAAAATTATTAACTTTGATCTTAGTAAATTTAAATAATGATTAGAAAAAGATTTAATTTAATAGGAAAAATTTAATTTTAAGTATATAGTTTTTTAATATATCCAAACAATATATTTAAAAATACATGTATTTGAAATTCATTTTTTATTCAATCTAAACAATGTATTTTAAAATACTATATTTAAATTACATGTATTTTAATTATACTCATCAAATTCAAATTTAAGTTCTCAAACACAACCTTAAAACTTTTACGTGATATTTTTAAGATTTAAGGACTGATTTGAGAATCTCAAAAAGTTATGAGGCTATAGTGTATTTTTCCCATAAATTGAAA